TCGAGTGAACCCAGTGAGCTAGAGAGTGGACTCAGCGAGTTGAGGGTGAACTCAGTGATGGAGGGACTCGGCGAGTTGTTCATCAACTCGGCGAGTCCAAGGCAATCTTCTTAAAGATCAAGAACAACTCGTCGAGTTTGTTCATCCGGCTCGGCGAGTCGGATGAAGATTGTCTGAGTTCCTGGATCAAGAGGGTACTCGTCGAGTCGATGCCAGACTCGACGAGTAGCAGTGCGTAAGAGTGAAAAGTGAGAGTGGGACTCGACGAGTTGGGTGGCCCAACTCGGCGAGTCAGCCCAAAAGAGAATTGACTTTGACCGAGGGTAAAAGAGTTATTTTACCCCAAGCGCAGTGTTTAGTATTTGATTGAGTGTGTTGATGGACTTGTAGCCGAGGAGATTCAGGAGCAGCCGCCGTTAGCTTTCCGAGCCACACACTCAGCAGCCAGCTTACGAGGTGAGTTTCCTTCCAGTAGGAACAGGTCTAAGGCCACAATGCCAGCCCGTTCAGTTAGCAGTAGTTTCCGGATTTAGGTCCGATGCAGTAGTTAGTATGTTCGATGCCTTCGTGGCTCGAACAGGATTTGTGTGCTATGTTTCATGTGTTAAGTATTATGTGTTCCGGGCCACGGCCCGATGTAGCACGTCGTATATGTGTTATGCTAGTTGATGTGTTATGCTATGCCATGTTCAGTCAGTCAGTTCCGGACTTCGGTCCGATGCAGTCAGTTCCGGACTTCGGTCCGATGCAGGGGGCAAGGTCCCAGTCAGTTCCGGACTTCGGTCCGATGCAGTTAGTTCCGGACTTCGGTCCGATGCAGTCAGTTCCGGACTTCGGTCCGATGTAGGGGACAAGGTCCCAGTCAGTTCCGGACTTCGGTCCGATGCAGTTTCCGGGCTTCGGCCCGATGCAGCGGGCAAGGCCCAATATGTGTTTATATGTTATTGTATGGTATGTGGTAGTTTGGGGGAGCTCACTAAGCTTCGTGCTTACAGTTTCAGTTTGGTTTCAGGTACTTCCGCAAGCAAAGGGAAGAGCTCGGGGTGACAGCATCGCACACACCACAGCATAGCTTTTATCCTGGGGATGTCTCTTGATGTTTTGGATTGATGTAGTATGATACAGTTTTCCGCACAATATTTTATTATGTTTTGGGGATACATCGCGTATGTTTTATGTTATGATACTTATATTATGGTTTTGATTATATGGAAAACGAAAATTTTTGGATCGTGTTTTTGGGTTGTTTCATTGAATTCAGGTTTGAGTCTACCTGTGCGACAATTGAAATTGGATGTAGCAAAGAGGTGGAAAATGGTACCCAGAGCCAATGTTATATCCAAATCCCAAGCGTACAAACTCCATGCAATCAGGTAATTAGATATTTGTTTATGAGTTTGCATAAAAATGAATAGGGCTTTATTAACTGTTACACAACAATGACATCCGTCTTCCTTATGTTATATTTTACAATCTAATGAATTTATGGAATTCATAGTGTTTCCTTCCAGAAAAAAGCATATCCAGATTGCATGTATAAGTTGCTTGGGTGTTCAAATCAGGTTATTCCATCTGTAATAATCTGCAACCTTTTTTACCCTTTAACTTTTTAATAAGAAAATGGATATTTTAAGTCTTTGTCACTTATATAGATTTCTTTTTAACAGAAAACCAGAAGGAGAAATACATGACTCTTCTCACAAAAGGATGTCATTCGTACCCAAACTTGCTTTGATCAATCGGTCAATGCTTCTCAATGACTGTTGATGATCTTCTTACAGCAAGTCACAAGGTAATAGCAAAGATCTTAAATTGGTAAGGATATTTCTTTCTTTATGGGTCAAATATATAGTGATCTTCAACTTCCAAGGATCATCTTATTATCATTTATTCGTGATTATTTTCTAGATAGCTTTTATAATGGTTTTATTTTTCTCTTACAGGAAAAAGACAGATAACTTGACATTTTCAATGGGGAAGACAATTGTATGTATTTCATTCTTTAAATTTATTTATTTATCCTATTCTTTTAACTTCGTTTATAGTTCTGAGTTGTGGATCATTAATCCAAAAAAAATTGTTGCCAAGGTACGTATAATGATTTACAAATTATTTATTTTAATTTACCATTTATGCTAGTTAAATTACTTAATTAATTATGTGCCTGCATGGGTTTTAATTTATTTTACAATTTGCAGTGAATCATTTGAATCAATAATAAATGTATGAGATGTAGTACATGGAATACGAATTGTAACCTTGAACCAACATAAGTATGATGTATATGGATTCATACTAATTTTAAATTTTTTTTATCAACAAAAAGCTAATACTTGATTTTTTTTTTATAAAAATGTTTAATGCAGGAACATCCGAAAAATGCTATTTCTATTGACGAAATGGTAGATATAGATATTAAAACCAAGTTAGTCTCTTTCTATTTCCCTACGTACAAAAAAAATAGTGATTTTAATAGTTTTTGTTAAAAATGCTCCTACGTACTGTTTTTTGGGTTAAAAACTTCATGATTTCATAGTTTTTGACCAAACTACCCTTGCATATAGTTTTTGGGTAAAAGTTACTAACTTGAATAGTTTTTAACTAAAATTTCTCGTGTATATGTTTAACTACAGTACCTTTTATTGAAAGTTTTAAACAAATTTAATAGAATTACATTAAGTTTTGGTTGAGAAAAATGCCGCATGTTATAAAAGAACAAAAATGAAACATGTTGATATCTAAATAGTTTTATTATTTTGAAAATATGTTTGAACCAGATACTTAATAACATGACATGTTTGAACACGAGAAAACATATTTATCCAAGGTAGGATGCCTGAATGAGAAAATGGTCAGAATGTGTCGATATGAAAAGTAGTTTAAAAGGTTCCATGATTTTTTATCCATATCTTAAACACCATTTTTACATTATTGGGTTAGATAATAGTGAGTAAACACAAGAATGCATGATATTTGGAATAAGTTATAAAAATTGAACAAAAGGGCAAAAATGTAGAAAATTGGCATTTTGCTTTTATAAAGCCCGTCCTTTTTGCAATGGTTTTGGTCATGTTCCAAGCAAAATGGCAACATTACCCTTTTCTAGATTTTTTTTTGCTTTTAAATCAAAGCGTAGTATTGTTAATTGCTTAAAAGATGAACGAATATATCACAAATATCTCAAATAATTACCGATTTCTGTTTTGTTATAAATAAAAGGGTAATATAGTCATTTTGCATAAAACATGAACAAAACCATTATAAATATCTCAACTACTTAACAAAATTGAACTCTTATTTTAAGTGCAACTTATATAATGATCCATGTGACATTTTCTATCTTAAAATATTCTTACTTGCTGTTATTACTATCTTGCTTTTAGGCATATTAAAGTTTTTGATTTTGGGGATTTAAATTGCGTTTTTTTAATCTAATAATTGAAAAATATGTTTGGGTGGCAGGTCTTCAAATGATTTCTCAAAGCCTATGTTACAAAGCTTTTCATGAAGTTGCATTGCATAAGCTCTCCGTGCCATAATCTACACTAAAACCCAGTTCTTTATGTACCCCTATTAGTCCTTTATGTACCCCTATTAGTCATTGAATCACTCATGTATGGTCCTTTGATCCAAGACTGATAACCTTCATGTCAAATATTCCTTTTCGGATGGAAGCAAAAAAGTAGGTTTGTATTAAACAAATTAAGAAAATTTAGTTGCTATCCTAAACTCAAGATTCAACTATTTTACCAATTTCATTCCAGATTTCCAAAAATTAAAATGGAATCCCCTTACCTCATGCAAAGCATGGGATACTTCCCTAGTTTTTGATTATCGGATTTCGTTTTTATTTATTGATGTACTTAATCCCCGATTAGGCCGACTAAACTCTAGTCGCTAGTCGAACGACTTAGTATAAACTATCGATTTTTACAACATTGTCGAAACTGACTATTCATCTTTGAACGACAAAACCTAGTCTACATATAATCAAAAGACTTGTTCAAATTTCTTCATAAACAACTAAACCAAAAATTGTTGATGGTAATCCTAAAAAGGTAGTTGGTTTGAAAAAAAAAAATAGTTTGTTTAGTGAAGAACAAATGAAAATCAGACTCTTTATCATAAAAATGAGACTGTTTATCATGTTTATAGGTGAAGAATAAATGATATTGAACGTAAGACTTTTTCTTTGTAAATCTCCTATATGGCTGACTGGTTGTACAGAGATAGCTGAATTTATTGTCACATAAGCGTTGTCATCGGATGATTGCCTTCATATTTTCAATAATGTCTTAATTGACAATTTTTGTTTTGCAAATTTAATGATTTATTTACATTAAAAAAAAAATAATGATCAAGTTCAGACAAAACGTGAAGTTCGTACCAGGACATTTTCTTAATTTTTTAATAGAAAAATTAAGTTTGAGGATATTTAATTTCTATTTTTAATAATAGTTTGGGCAAAATAGGTTGGATGAATAGAGTAAAGGACAAATCTCAATTAGATACAAATCCTCTTAACATTTTTCTTCTAAGTAAAATAAAGAGTAAATTACACGAATGGTCCTTATAGTTTGGGGTAATTTGCATTTTTGGTCCCTAACTTATTTTTTAACTCGGAAGATCCCTACTGTTTGCTTTTATTACGTGTTTGGTCCTTACTGCTTGTTTTTGTTACGCGTTTGGTCCCTATCTTACCTAAAAATACTATTATTTAAATAGGAAAAAATGGTGGGGTAGGTAAGGTAAGGTGAAGGGGGTGAGGTTGGGAGTGTGTTTATCGAAATAAATTAAAAAATCAAGGCCAAAATAGTCTTTTTAACTAAGACAGGGACCAAACGCGTAACAAAAACAAACATTAAGGACCTTACGAGTTAAAAAAAATAAGTTAAGGACCATACATACAAATTACCCTAAACCATAGGGACCATTCGTGTAATTTACTCTAAAATAAAGATGTTAATACGACAACGCTTTAAGAAATCCCTACCAAGATCCAAAAGTCCAAAAGTAGTCGTTACAAAGAGCGTCAATGTCTCTCAAACGTTCTCTTTTTCTTCCACTCTTTCCCTGCCGTCGATGATCTTCTGATAAACTGAATCCCCCGGTCATCTCTCTCCACAACGAATCTCCTCCTTATTCCGGTGATTTTCCGATGGAACGGAACGGCAAGAACGCCGGAGCAGTGCCACTGACACCATCGAAGTCAAAGCATTCCAGCAAGTCAAAGCTACCAGAGAATGTACACCCTAACGTTACTAGCCCTAATCCGAAGGCCTTGCATTCTCCATCAGTCAAATCAGCGACTAAATTCCAGAAATCGGCGATGAAGAAACCTAATCAGGTCTCTTCGCCTTCTCCCAAGAACAAGATTCGGGAGAGGAAGTTTGTGGTAGCGAAGAAGAATTCGAATAGAGACAATGATAAATCCCGGATTTCAGTCGATTGTAAGTGTAAGGCTAGTGGTAATTTGGACAAATGTTTGTGTGTTGCTTATGAGACTCTTAGGGCTTCTCAGGAAAGGTTTTTCAATCGGAGTGAAGTTGTTGTACAAGAAGAAAACTCTAGTTTACCTTTAGGTGTTCAAGGAAAATCCGAAGAAGATGACGTTTTTGAGACGTCCGGTGATAAGAGGAGAAGGGAGAAACTATTAGATGAAGCAAGAAAGAGTATTCCTGAACCTAGATCTGGAAGAGTTTTGCATTTGGTCAAGGCCTTCGAGAATATTCTCACGTTACCAGATTCAAATGAGGATGAACTTGAAGATCAGACAAACAGCAATCCTGAGAGACGATTCTCTTCCACTTCATTCAATCCATCTGATCTCTTACTCACTGCAGAAAATGTAGGGTTGCATTCTTCACTTGATGGCAGCCATGGGAGGTTGGTTGATCATCATCTAAAAGCCCTGTCATGAAATTTCTGTTAAACATGCTTAATTTTGACTCTAAATGAGTTTATTTCTACGTTTCAGCACTTCAAACAGGATTTCAGGAGAAGTTCGTCAATACAGAAGAAACGTAAGTCATCATTCATCACGGTTTTTCTAAAATCAAGATCGTTCCTTCTTGTTTATTTTGATTTATTAACTTTTATTTTACTATGCAGAGTTCTGATTCATCATCTTCAAGTTTTGGAGGCAGCAGATGGAAAAGAACACCGAAGGCTACCTCCCAGAGACCTTTCAAGCTTAGAACAGAGGTTGGCATTTACATTTTACAGTTCACTTATATGTTCCAACACTTCTTGTACCTTTTATAAGCCTCTTGAATTGAGCTCATTACCTCATGAATCTATAGCAAAGAGGAAGAACAAAACAAGAAGAGTTCATGAAGAAAGTCCAGGAGTAGATAATTCAACAACAAAAGCAACGAATTCCCATAGCTCAAGGCCTCCCAATTACTACCGATGAACCAGAGGTAAGAACATTTCTCCAAGTTAATTTTCAATCACATCTAAAAACTATCTCACAAATTTGAGTAATACTAATCTCAGTGTCTGGTGAAACCACCTGTGAAAGAAAGTACAAAACGGATCGATCTTGTGTTGCATAGTGATGTGAGGGCAGTTAAGCGTGCTGAGTTTGATCATCATATGCAAGAAAAGCTCTCTTATGTTGAGCAATATAAGCTGGAAAGAGAAAAGCTGCAAAAGGTATAAAATCTTATATCATGGTTTGATTTTGATCCATCATTTTTGGTGTTGTTTTAATGCTTAAAAACTGAAATCAATCAACTCAACCCCATTGATGAATCTTTAATTTTGTTGTAGTTGGAAGAAGAGGAAGAATTAAAGAGGTTAAGGAAGGAACTTGTACCAAAGGCTATGCCTTACTTTGATAGACCTGTCATCCCAAGAAGGTAACTAAATGTGGGACCCACTATTTTACCCATAGTAGCAACATACTCAACATACTTACATTTGGTCATCTGGAAGATGACAATCACTTCTAGATAATCCCTCCTCATAATTGTAAACTAGATCTGTGAGGATCGATTGGGGCGGGTAGTTTTAGGTTTGAGGGTCTAGAGATATCCAAATCGGAGGCACATTTATATTGTTTGGTAACAGTTTGTTTTACAGTATTATTGAAGTATATATTGTTTGGTAACATTGTGGGATTGAAATCTTTATGTATTCACCAAGTTCCCAATCTGATCCACTCGGGTCATTAGTGTAAATTGATGTAATGTCTGTTTATGTTTATGTTTCTATATTGACGATGACATGTCAAGTTTTATAAATAAAACACAACTCTTGGAAATGCTTTGATAATATTTATTATTATGTTTTTAGGACAAAATCCGCAAAATTAATCATTTTAAAAGAATACTTTGATTTAATAAACATAATATTTATTATTCACCAAGTTCCCAATCTGACCCACTCGGATCATTAGTGTAAATTAATGTAATGTCTGTTTATGTTTATGTTTCTATATTGACGATGACATGTCAAGTTTCATAAGTAAAACACAACTCTTGGAAATGCTTTGATAATATTTATTATTATGTTTTTAGGACAAAATCCGCAAAATCAATCATTTTAAAAGAATACTTTGATTTAATAAACATAAACAAAAAGTTTTAAAATGACCGTAAATTTGGGGATGTCATACCAATAGCAATCCAGTTTTAAATTTAGGTCCAGTTCTATACTTCCGGCCCAGTGTGCATGAATTGTATATGTATTGTTGTATAGAGTATTTTGGATGGAACTAACTAAACTTTTGATATGTTGATTTCTATGGTTTTTGTTTGGAAACAAAGTTTGGCAATCTTATGGTTTTTATGAAATGTCTTTTAAAAATGATATTTGTTTTTGATTACTTGATCGTTTTTTATTACTTGATGTAGTAAATCCCTGATTAGGGTGACTAAACTTTAGTCGTTAGTCAAACAACTTAGTAGCGATTAACGATTTTTACAACCTTGCCAAAAATCGACCATCTTTAAACATGGAATCATGAACAACTAAACCAAAAATTGTTGACGGCGATAAAAAAAAATGAGAGTTTGTTTAGTGAATAAAAGATGAAAATGAGATTGTTTATCATGTTTATCTGTGAAGAACAAATGACGTTGAACATCATATTTTTTTTTTCTTTGTAAATCTCGTATGTGGTTGACTAGTTGTACACACAAATGATGGAATTTATTGCCACATAAGCATTGTCATCGGATGTCTGTTTCATATTTTCAATAATGTCTTAATCGATTTTTTTTTCAAATTTAATGATCTATTACATAAAAAATTATTAATTATTTTAATGACCAATTGAGAAAAAATAGGAAGTTAATTGTACCATAACCTTTTCTTATTTTCTTAATAGAGAAATTAGGTTTGAGGATTTCTCTTTTAATTATAGTATGAGCTAAATAGGTTGGATGAATAGAGTAATGAGCAAATGGAAATTAGATACAAATCCTGTAACATTTTTCTTCTAAGTAAAATAATGGGTAAATTACACGATTTGTCCTTGTGGTTTTCGGTAGTCTGTGCGTTTGGTCCTTATAAAGAATTTTTAACTTAGACCATCTCTATAAAAAAAAATTATTGCATGTTTGGTCCCTTGTTGATGTAAAAAGATAGTTATACCCTTTCTCATTTTATTTTTACTTTTATTTTTGTTATTTGTTTATTTTTATAATAAAGATAATGTAAATGGGCCCCACTCCCACCCCTTACTCTTCTTCTCTTCCCCATCTTCTTCCAAAACATCGATATGCTCATTTGTGATGAATCAATTGGTCATTCGCCCACCGATATATCCTTCTACAGCTATTCCCTGAGAACCACCAACAATTGGTACACAAAATCAACATACATGTTGTTGCTCCACCTTCGGTTCACCCATATCCAATAAAGGAATCGCCCCTTCCTGAAGCATCATCAGAATTAACGAAAATTTGATGCATAATCTTTTAATTGTGATTTTTACAGTCTTGATCTCCAATGATTGTGACTCGCCTCCTCTGTAACACTTCATTTCAGGTTTTCCCTTTGAGCCCTTCGTTTTAGAAATTTGTACAATTTAGTCCCTATCCAAGTATGCTGGGTGTACTCTATGAGTATGTTGGGCGTACTGGCTCGAGGGTTGGATGTGAAGCCATGGATGGTAGATCTTAGCACCTTTGAGGTCCCTTGTCCATAAAAATGCAATCTTTATAAGTTATATTGGTCCATGCATGTGTTAGGATCCTTATTATGGTTCTCTTTGAGTTTTGGGTCCCATTAAATCATGCATGGGAGTAAAGTTGCCAACTTTACGTGTTAATACATCATTAGGGACTAGATCTGAGACTTGGACGTAATGGCTTAATCATTTAAGCACTTAATGTTGAAGGTGGTCAACTACACCGTACGTTGGGCGTACCAAGCTGAGATGTTGTGTGTACTGGCCATCGAGGTAGAACACGGGGCGTAAGCCTGAGTACGTCGGGCGAACTCAGCAGCCTTGGCTTCGGTTGACTTTCTCGGTTTGGGTCACTTTTAGGCTAGAAGAGTTTAGAGCCCTATTGAGCCATTAGCCTTCTAATTTTGGGCCATTTCTAGGCATTAGGCCTTCTTGGATTAGGCCTATGATGGGTTTTGGACCCAATTGAGTTGGGCCATATTGGGCTTTTTGGTTCTATTGAATTGGGCCTTAGATTTTAGGCCAAGTGAGGAAAGGGTAAAATGGACTTTTACCCTGAATGTTGGACAATCGGACTTAGAGTCTAGTTATATGATATGGACCAATTATTAATTGGGTTTTATTTGATTGGTTAGCATGGGGATTTTCCGGATCGACGGTTCGAGCTTTTATTTGAGATATTCAACAGCTTGAGGCGAGTTTCCTCACTGTGCTTGGTGGGTCGAAGTCACCAATGTCGAACCAAGGCTTATTATGATTAGGATGCTAGTTATTTGTGTGACTCTTGCATGTATGTTATATGATATCTGTAACATCCCAATATCAGGTATTTTTAGTATTGCTTTTATCTTTATCATAAGTTGCACAATCGGTCCCTTGAGGAAAAAGGCTTGCATTTGTGGTCGTAGGCAGGGCGTACTTAAGAGTACGCACAACGTACTCATTCAACTTGGAATCTGTCACACCCCCAAACCAAGGATGGCGGAAACGTCCGGGGGTGGAGGACTTCATGTATAGTATCGTAACCACAATTTCAATAGTAATTTAAGCAACACAACCAACATATATATAATTGAAAAAGTTACATCACTTGTATGAATTACATGTTTCAAAATCAATTACAATATGTTGACAAAATATGAAAAGTTTGACGCCTTAATGTCCCATCCTCAAAAGCACTTGATAATCTGATTAGTGTTTTCCTGAGAATACAAGTTGTTTGAAAAGTGTCAACACAAAGGTTGGTGAGTTCATAAGCTTTTATTAATAAACTTAGTAGAAGTCTTTCACATGTAAATGTCGCGTTTGTTTCAGAAAAATCCGATATTTTCCTTGAAATCCGAAAAATGTAGCCTTATAACCAAAGACTAAAATGTATGAGAAATCATCATTTCTTAATAGAAATGTCGTGAGTTTAAAATGATATGGAAAGTAAATTTCTTTTATCAACCTAAAAACCTACTTCGGTTTATGAGACCCCGTAAACTTTATGAGTTGTTATCTCCCTATGTGAGTCGCTATAATCATACTGTGACTATGTGAACCTGCCACAACGTTTCTCAGGCGTCGCGAATATGAAATGACATTTGTCACCCGTAGACCTGTAGGTCCCACTGTAGCTAGCAGCAAGGTGTGGGGTGTCAAACCCAATATAGATCTATATACAAGTATCACGTTCTCCCTCAAGGAGATTCTGATTATAACTACCAGGAATTATATCCCGCACTCGGACGTACGGGGAGAGAGAGAGTCTCACAACATAGGTTAACAAGTTTACGTGAAATGTGTGTGTGAATATAAATCTTTCTTGTACGAATGTACCCTTTTTGTACGAGTGCGTTGAGTGATGTATCATAAACTATACCTATTATAGTTTATCTAAAATGTATGTAATATGTATAAATTCTTTTATGGAAATGTATTAGTGTTGTGAATTTATCAAACTATACTTTTTATAGTTAAATAATACGTGTTCTAAATGAATGAATAATATTTAATATAAATGACTTAGTTTCAGTTCATAATGGTAAACTAACAAGGAAACACATTCAAATATTAGAACTTATGATTATACACTTTGCTCAACATAATACAAAGTGTTATGATATTTACATGCTGTTGGCTAACTTTAGCCATTCTGCCCTGTTTTTGGAAAAATCATAGGAAAATCATACGAAGTCGAAAACTAGATCCGTAAATTCTGAGAGTTCGCAAAATGTGTCTAGTTTACTCATAATTTTTATCACGATTTTTAATGACTTCCAACTTGAGTGAATAAGTCCAAAATCACAGACTGGTCCGGATTGTTGTTTGAAATGATAGGCAGTTTTGTAAAAATCACCATAAATTGTAGAAAAATCGTATGGAGATGTGCTAGTAGCCATTTTAAAGCTAAGAACTTGAACTATTTGCACCTTGTACAGTTTTGAAAACAAAAATGTTTAAGATGCCCAAAACAGTCCGTGAATGGAGTTGAACTTTTCTGATGAAGGCTGTTAGAGAAATTTAGTTATGTTCTTAGTGTTTTAACTTGTATTCCCCCCTTAAAAACTTGAGAAAACATGAAAATGTAGGGGTATGAACTCAACTTAAGTGATTTCAGTAGATGATTGTTGAAGAATGGAAGTGTTTAATTCAAGAACACTTGGAGATGCCTTGAAGGTTTTCGAGAATCTAACATTATAGTTAGGGAGTTTGTGTAAGCAATCAAAGACTTGAGTAGAATGAAGTGAAATAATAATAGGGAGGATAAATTTTTACTTACTAAGTGTGGAAGAACACTTGAAATCGGCCTTGGATCTCGAAAATTTGTGTAGAAGAGTTTGAGAGAAAAGTGGTGTTTGTTACTTAGTGGAATGAGAGAAATGAGAGAAAATGAGGAGTGTGGTTGTTTGTTCCAGCTCAAAAACGTGGGAGTGAGTGAAATTTGAGTGTAAGGGAACATTGAAGTGACATAGGTAAGGTGGGGAGGTATGGTTGGTCATAGAGTGGGTGTGGGGTGGTTGCTTGTGTCATAAGTTAAGGCAAAGTCAACACTCCACCTTAAATAAATCCCCCATTAGATCTTTATTATTTAGATAATGATTTTTATAAAAATATGTTTAAATTATGAATATTTAGGGTTTATT